TTCGATATTTCCCCCAGGCCCCATTTCATGCGTTGTTTATCACAGTGCCAATCGGACTCTGCTAGAACAAAAACGTCCTGGGCACATGATAAGGGGGCACAGCTGGTAGAAACTCACGTTTAGAACTGTAGCACTTCCTCACATTTGCCCAAATTGTTCCCTGTTCTTTTCCTTTGTCCGCCATGTTGAATTCTCAGGTGGATTACCGCTATACACTCGTTCTCAGACTCCCGTTCCCGGTTCCCCATTCCCCGTTCCCCGTTCCCCGTTCCCCGTTCCCCGTTCCCCGTTCGCCGTTCTCCGTTCCCAATTTTAGTAACATCCGTTGTTGCAACCGCGGGGTCACTCAGAGAAATGAATTTAAGTGAGATGTTTCAAATAGTATTCGAAATGCTACCGTGATACTCAGTAGATTTTTGGTAAATATTTTTTGCAATAATTGCTCGAACTTTGAGGGGAATCTCTCTTAATAGTTCAATTACTCAAGGCTATTAAGTAACTAGATTATGAGCCCGAGATTTCTATCGTGTTGAACAGTCTTTCAACATTGTTATTGTCATTTCAGGATGTCGCATTTCGTTTGAGATTTGATGTTTCAAGTCAGGTGTATTAAATAAACGTGACTCTCACCAATTCTTTATTTGTTAAGATGGTTTCCGCTGAACATTCGAGGTTAAATTAATTCTCAAGCATTCTCGAGAAAGGTAATGTCAAACCTCCTAAAAATGTTGTTTTGTTTTGAACTAACGTGAAACGTCTGTTGTAGTTGAAATATGGATAACTTTAAATTCAATTTTCTCTCGCGGGGTGAGCTTGAGAGCTAAGTCTCGATAAGTTCATGTCAACTGTATTCAAAATATTATCATGCTTGCTGCGGGGTATTTTTAGTAACTTTATTTTTCCCATTATTTCTCCAAAGTTCAGCGGAAACCATCTTAACAAATAAAGAATGGGTGAGCAGAGAGGCATGTTTATTTAATACACGTGACTTGAAATATCAAATCAGAAATGAAATGCGACATCCTGAAATAACAATGTTGTCAGGTCACGACGTGCACCTTAAATTAGGGCTGGCGAAAGATAAATGCGAGACTTTGCAAGAAGGCGAGACTAGCGTTTTTCTTTGCGAGAACGAGACATTTTGACTTCTTCAATTGGGAGACCGAGACTTCAGTGTTTTAAATGCGAGTTCGAGACGTTTAGTGTCAAGAACTGAAATCGGTACTTCGAGACTTTCTCGGCTTAACCTTAGCAGAAATTCGAGACCGCAAGACGCATAAAACCGCTAAAAAACGAGACCGTGTGCGAGATCCGTGAAATTCGAAAAATTCTGCGAGACTCTGCCATGGTTTTGAAGGACCATTCGCCACCCCTTTAATACTTTCCGGCTTTCGTGGTTAAATTATTTTACGGCGGGTTAACATTTTTTACGGCTAACAGTTAAAATTTTCCAATTTTTGTCACGACTAACGGCTGGATTTTTAAAAAATTGAGCGGTGAGACTTATTTTTCGTTCGGATGAAAAAATC